TCATGGCACAAGATAAACATTTAGGACTGATTGAGAGTATATTGTTTAGACTGTAACTGACCATTGTACTTCAATCTTCTCAATCTGTATTATTTTGTGTTGTGATGATAATTTTTGATGTATATAATTTAGATATGAAAAGCTTTGTAGCAAACCACCACCTCCTGTTATATCCAAACTAAGACCAGACCAGTATTTTGGTGCAGTTCCTGAGAAGATMTCCTCATCGTTAAATAGCTACATCCAAAGAAACCCGCACAAYAGCTTGTCTAATGGAGAGGAATCCAAGTCGAAGTATGTAGTATGTCAYGAACATTATTATTAACAGTTCCACTGCAACATCTACAACAAGTTACAATACGAAATATAATTATGATATTATAAAATAAGAATAGCAATGGTTATTTCAATAGGCAATGTGCAGAGACRCCATTTTKTGCAGCAAATCCTGATGGTAGTTGTAGTCATTATTTTGACATTCATTTTTCTCTGTGTTCYAGTGATACCGTAGATGCTGATAAATTCCGATCCCTAATGTACCTCAAAACACTACGTTCACTCGTTGAGCCAGGAGAAGCTGTTGGTCTTATAGCAGCTCAGGTTAGTACATTATGTRTGTGACGTCATGTACATATCTGTGAAGTCATGCACATGTATATGACGTCATGTGCATTCATTTGACGTCATGTACATGCATGTGACGTCATTAGTATGATGTCATCGGTGTGAAATTGTCTCTAAAAACTCTAAAATGTCTGACCTAGTTTAGCAACATAGTTATTAAAGACTGATGTCATTGTTTATGTACACATGTCGTAACTGAAAATTCATTTTTATAATCTTTTGTAGTCAATTGGTGAGCCGTCGACGCAGATGACGTTGAACACATTTCACTTTGCTGGTCGTGCTGAGCTCAACGTTACACTAGGAATTCCTAGACTGAGGTAAGACAGTTGTACGTTATAGAGAGATTAATAGCATTAAACTAGCGTGAGGAAGTGTTTCTAATGAAATTATAAATTGTACAACGTAACTATAAGATAGAAAATAGTTTACTCTGAAATTGATCCTTCAACGCTATTTTACTCAGACGAAGGACGAACGTCCACAATGTTAGCGAGTTTCAAGCTTTTAACCGTGCATAGCTTACCATTTTATCCGGTTTTATCATCATGTGTTTTTTTTTTTTTTTCTTGAAGAGAAATCCTGATGACAGCCAGTCCACACATCAAAACACCCACTATGGACCTTCCGTTGCTACCGACCAAAAAAGCTGTGAGAAAAGCCAAGAAACTACAAACGAAGTTCACTAGAGTGATGTTATCAGAGGTAAAACTTGTGATATTTGCGCTAATGTGAATTGAGAGAAAGAGAATGATCTCCGACTTTATTCGAGAAGACGAGGCACCTTGAGAGTAAACTGACTTGCCTGAGTATACTACGTTCGCCCGGTTTGGGAACGGAACCCAGGCCTATGGACCACAAGTACCATCACGTTACTCACTGCGCGCAATAATGGCGCTAACTATACTAAGAGCGTACCTTCGTTACCAGGTTCTTCAGTCCGTAGACGTCTGGGAATCTCTTACTGCTAAGGAATTGGGAACAAGGTTTGCAGTCTACTATATCACTAACCAAAGCACTTCTTTATTGAGTTTACCTAGAAAAAGACTACTAAATTGTTCCTTGTATTTGATTGTAGGACGCGAGCGTATCGAATCCGATTCCTTTTTTTACCCGAGTCGCAGTACAAGGTACGTCTGTCATGTTTTATACGAGTCGATTTTATTGTATTTGTGATGGTGAAGTTGTTCTTATTTTAGGACAAGTTCTACTGCTCAGCCCACGATATCCTTCACTATGTGGAGACTGTATTTGTCAAGAAACTAATTGGTGTGATCCAGAAAACCGTGAAAAACAAACAGACGCAGAGGTATTGATTATAAAAACTGCTCCTTAGTTTGCTGTGCTATCTTATACGGTAATGSTGTCTTAACTGGGAGCAATGAACCCTTCAGTGAATTCACTACAGAGCAGTCTACTGAGCCATTTTCTTTCTCATCGATACATCGACATTTCTTCTACTTCTTAGACGTTGTTAGACTTACAAGTGAACTGATATATATTTGTATTTCCTGAGCATTTTTTTTAATTTGTACGTCTTGTACATAGGCTTCTTGAAGTCGTAGAAGACAAGGGAACTCAGGGAGCCGCCGAAACCGGAACAGAAGAACCAGGTAAACTAGTTTAAACCAGTTTTTCATAATGATTGATGACTGAATATAATGATTGATGTACAGATGATGACGATGATAACGCCGAGCTTTCAGACGAWGATGGTGCTGATGGTGGAGCTGCCGATATGAAGCAAAGACAGAAACTTGAGCAAGTATGACACCRATTTAACAGCGAATTTCTCAGGCGTATTTTGGATCAGTCCTAATCTAACAGTATTTGTCTTTTTTTTCTTTTCTAGCATGCTAGCTACGATGCTCCSGATGTTGACGAGTTAGAAATCGAGAAAGAACTAGGAGCAGAAAGTAAGTTATTAAAAACTCATTGTTTCCAATGCAATGCGTCTTCAATGAGTAATGTTTTTGTCAATAACAGGTGGTGACGATGATGACGAGGAGCAAGCAAGCATCAGTGAAACACAGTCTACTATAGGAGGTAGGGGTAATTGAAAATTAAAATTTAAGGCAGTAGGTTTTGAGATCATCAAACTTCGATTGTTTCAACAGATCCTGAAGATACGGCTTCCACTTTAGAAACGAAAAACAAAAGCAAACGAAAATCTAGCATGGATGCTAGTAGACAAGAGGTGTGTTCGTTCTCCTCATTGGTCAGTTTGTATACAATAAGTGGTATTTACTAACGAGTTTCTGTGATATTTCAGCGTGTAGTCTACAGTGATAATCATATCGCTTCATACTCGTATGATGACGAAGAAGAACAGTGGTGTGAAGTGGTTATTAAGGTAATCAATCAATCAATCAATCAATCAATCAATCAATCAATCACCCAAATCAATCAATCAATCAATCAATCAATCAATCAATCAATCAATCAACCCATCAATCAATCAATCAGTCAGTCAGTCAGTCAATCAATCAATGAATCAGTCAATCAATCAATTCAATCAATCAATTCAATCATACCAATCCTTTTATTTTCTTAGTTCCCAGTCTTAAGATGGAAAGTGCGAGTCACAACTCTGATTGAAAAGCTCGCTAAACAGGTTTGTCAAGTATTTCTAGTATCCATACCCTTCTCAATCATACCTGACCATTGCTTTTCCTTGTAGAGTGTTGTATACGAGACACCAGGAATCAAACGATGCTTTCTTGTAGAAGAGAAGGACACGAACTATCTCAAGACTGACGGAGTCAATTTCCAAGTAAGTATAAGGTCGATTTTCGATTAATACCTTCAAATCTAAAAGACGCAAGATCTGTTGCCATTATATTGTTGTTTATTTCTTGAATTTTATCCCAGGTTGCTTTTCGATACCCCGATATACTGGACATCAATAAGTTGTACACTAATGATATCCATGCTGTCGCAAACACGTATGGTATCGAGGCTGCGGCTCGCGTCATTGCCAAGGTAACTATTGACGTCATTAGTATCGTCATATTGTCGTCATTTCGACTTTTACGAAATGTTTTCTCCCGTCACGTCGCGGTTTCGTCAGTTTTGAAATAGCTTCGTTTAATCTTTCGCCGTTAAACGATTGTTCGTGTGTTACAGGAAGTCAAAAACGTTTTTGGTGGTTACGGCATMCATGTGGACCCAMGGCATTTAATCCTTGTAGCGGAATATATGACTTACGAGGGAAAAATCAAAGCCTTCAACCGAATAGGGATCGAATCAAGCGCGTCTCCCTTCCAGAAGATGAGCTTTGAAACKACKACGCACTTTTTACGTGGTGCTGTCTTGTCTGGAGACACAGAAAATCTCAAATCACCTTCGTCGAGGCTTGTTGTTGGCCGAGTAGTTGGTGGAGGGACTGGATGCTTTGAATTGCTTCAGCCGTGGTGTTGAGAAGTTGTTGAAAGGGTTTCCTGTGTCGAAGCTTTAGGAGAGGTCTTTCGTTTAGTTGAAAATAAATTCTTTGAATAGTAGATAACACGTTGATGGTTTTTTGACGTTTTTCATGCATGTATTTGAACACTTTTTACATCTCAACTCAATTCAGTTGCGATAGTATAGGTCCTTCACAAAATTTTTTAGTCCTGGCAGCACATTTCTGCAATTAAAAGAAGTTCTTTGTCGTTTTTTKATCTTTCAGCGATATTGTCTATCTGTATTTCTACGTTCATAAACATGTTTTTGCAATTCACTKAAAATTTTTTATTATTATCACTATCGTTATTCGATGTGGATAAAATTTTTCAAGATTTTTCAGTCTGACAAAAAGGGCGGGAAAATGATGGCGAGCGCGCGCGCGCGCCGACGACGTTGGCCATGTCTTCATGCATATATAAATAGGAAACACGGCTTATCCAATCATAAAGATTGTAATGTTTACAATATTCTATGATATTCCACTTTTCCCAAATACAATTTGTGCTTTCAAATCACTATATTTCGCGTCTATTTGATATTTATTATTTCCTATGATCCCCTGGCTTGAAACTAATTTAACTTTAAGCATCCTAATGAATACGAGTCTTCGCTATCGAAACGTGACAACCAAAAGTCAAATTATAATTAAAACTAATCACACATGTCTGTAATAATACGTTCATCACGTTGTGACGCTATCTCGACACTAAGTTCTCTGTGTTTGGTGCTCTTAAATTGTGCTTTTCCGCTGTTGTTTTGGAGGAATAGTAGTTTTATGAATATTTCTAAGTGAAAACGTAAAAGTTTGAGTTTTGCATGGTGAATGATAGTGAAGACGCAAATTATTGTGGTGATAGCGAGACTAGAGCATAGTAAAGTGTTATTTACCTTGAGCTAGTAATCTATGGGGCGGAACAAAATCTAATGCTATACATGTACTGAACAAAAAGAAACAAAAGTAGAAACGCCAAAAAATGAACAAAATACACTCAAAATGTCCTAATTCAAATATGGTTGAACAATTCTACCAGAAAAGATAATTATACATTTTGAAACAATTGCGAGGTAATTTCAATGACATTCAGTGAAGATTTCCATCTCGAACTTCCTCTTCTGTGTGTAATATCCACAAAATGTCAAAAACTTATCGTATAATACATTTTATATCTCATCAAACCTGTTTTCCGTTTGTAATTGTGTTATATTTAACTGTCGACCTAATGTGYGTGAACACAAATCAAATTGAGATGATGGCAAAAGAGAGTTTATTATTGTAAGTTGATTTAGACGTGGAATTTTATCTTGATAAGAGGATGACTGACTGATGGTAGTGTTTGGTTATATAAGTCTTAAGGTAGATAGTCTAATCTAAATTCCTCGTCAAAACAAACCTTCATGCTACAAGGAAAAATTTTTTTTCGCCTTAAGGTGGCCATTACTATCTAAAATGAAGATCAAATACGCTAGCTTCACTTAGAAACAACTTGTGGTTAAAGATATAGGTAATGAATGTCCTCAAACATATATTTTCTTGCTTGCTTTGGCCGATTAATTCATGATCGGTAATTTTAAGAATGAAAAAGCGCAGCCTGAGCTGTGACACCAGATAAACTGCTCAGAGCTGCTGTGAGTTTGTTTTGTTATGTAACAATTTTGAACTTAATTGGGAGAGACTTTTATAACATCTAAGTTTAAACTTTTGGTCTCGAATCTTTTGATCGCTTAATTGAAAAAATCCTTAATCCTATTCCAATTTTTATCTTTTCTGAGCGTGAATACCAAATTGCAATGTATAAAATCATTTCTAATCCAATCAAAAACACCTCTGTATACAGTAGTTCATGTTCACCTTGAGATCGAAACAACCCATTAAAAGCAGCGGACGGCTTGTCATTTAATTAAACGTCATTTTACGGCCTGAAGCACTAATTGAGGGACAAACAAAATGATTGTATTCTTACCCCCTCTAAGGCTGATACGACACTAATGCCCGGCCCAATATAGCCCAAATGAGACAAATGAGCKAGCTTTTGAACATACGAATCCATCTGTCCCAGTAAGTCTATATGAAGTACTTCTCTAACCAAGAAAAGCCACTTCGTTATACAAAAAGAGAACTTAATGAAAGTTCAATTAAGGTACATGGATGGAGTTATGGGATATAACTAGGAGTTAATTTGTCCAATCAAACGCGATGATTATTCAAAGAAAAGAAAAAAGGAACTAGTTTTTTTATCTGATTTTGGAAATTCGTGAGTGTGCGAAYGAGAGAGTTTTCTAAGAAACATGAGATTTTCAGGGRTTATTATTTTTAAGAATGACGATGACATAGAAAAGTTTTACATCTTTTGCTATGCCTCTCATATATACAAACTTGGAACAGTTTCACTTACAAAATTGTGTTTCTTAATCTTATTTCTATTGCTGAAATCGTATGAGCGCTTAATTATTGATAACCAACAACTTTTGAGAGGCGAGTTGAAGAGAAATCGTCAATGAAACCTGTTTTCGCAGCGTGACTGAAACAGGACTTTTAGAAGACAGGGAAACTTAAAAACTCATTCAATTGCAAATTTACCCTTGTATTCTTCGTTTTCAAGTTACGTCACGGCGGCCATCTTGGAGGAACTTCAACAAAAGATTTCTCATTAGTATCTATTGTTCATTCCTCCAACATGGCCGCCGGTCTTTTATCTTTTGAATCTCATGGGAATGGCTGAAAACGAACAATACTGCTCTAAGCTAGTGTGTTCCTTTTACTTTCTGCGTATGTTGAAATGAAGCTCACTTTTTTAATTTGATGATTTTTGGCCGGATTCAAGGTCAACACGTGACTCATGATCCGTGTGTTCTGCTGCGCGCGCTATGTACGTCAGCAAAGTATAACCCTACAGCGCACTTGTCTTAATCAAATATACCGAGCACGCTCCGATCGACATAACACAACACAGTGAAAATCATTCCTTGCTTTTGCTGTTGTCGATTAACAACCAGGTAAGCATATGCTGACTTCGGATGCGATGACCTAAAAAACGTGGGTTATGGCTTTTAGTTCTTGAAAATAACGAAAACAGCTGTTGAAAAGTATTCTTTTTAGTAGGGAAAGTGGAGTTAAATCCACAAAGCTTTTTTTTAGTGAAGACAGAAAGTTCCTTTTCTTTTACGCTGTGAAATTAGTCTCGGACTGTGAGCACATGAGCAGTGAGTATTTCATTCGACATAAGAGCTATCAGGAGGCCTGAGGGATTCTTTTTGGAATGGGTGTGTGTTTGTGTGTTTTTATTATTATTACTATTTAACGTCGGTTTGTGACAAATATGACTGAAAAGAATAGTCATTCCAAACGTTTTTGCGTGAATTGATTGAGTAGAAAATTTATTGAGTGTAGAAAATGTGAAAAATATACATTAAAATTCGATTAATTAGATGCATTAAATTAAGGTTAACGATAGTAAATAAATTATTAATCGAAAGGAAGTCTGTCGAGAGATAAACTCTTTCATTAATATTACTCGTCGATGGTTTCTTATCTTAAAGATAAAACTTGAAGGTGTKTAAAAAGTAGCTCATTTGTCGATTTGATGTTAGGCTGTYCATTTTATAAGGCAGTTTTTCTAATTTTTCATGAAATTTCGGACTCCTAGCAGCTGAATTCGGCTGTTAGAACTCAATTAGATCAACATTAGACGTCCCCAACTRATTTTTTTGAAGCGCGAAAACTTTGTAGCCCCAAGCAGGTGGACCATGAGTTATAAGGTCCGATATTGCAGATATTTACACCATATCTCAGTGTCGAGTGTATTACACACTTGAGGGATGCAAAGCAACTTAGTAGTCATTAAAGATATCGCATTTTCCTAAGACTGTAGCTGAAGTATTTTTAGTTTTGAAATGTTGTTTTGCAGTTAATGATAGTGACCCGTAAAGATTGATATACATTTGAATAGTATTGCAATACAATGCATATTAGTGTAATATTCTTCGTTTTTACGTATATTGAATATACGTCGCAGCGGCCATCTTGGCTAAACTTTCAGCAAAAGATTTCTCATTAGTATCTATTTTTCATTCATCAAACATGTCCGTCGGTTTTTTATTTTTTGAATCTCATGGGATTGAGATAAATCATTACGAGTAAGGCACACACTTTTCTGAAAAACTACTAGCAGTCGAGACTAGACCACCAATATTAACTTTAAGAAAATAGTTATAATCCTGCCACAACATAAAGGTCTATAAGCCTTATTAGCGTTAGGCCAGTTCATCAAACTGTTTTTAATCTCTTGGTTTAGAACACGATTAATCACATCACGCATCTTATTTCTTAATAATGGCTAAGGGAGTACCTACAAGAAAAACAGACTTAATGAAGGCTTGGGTACGCTTATTAATCAAAGAACTTTCACAGTAATTGAACCTTACAAGACAACATGGCTTTCAATCGCACGTAAATACAAAAGGGCCAAGGGGGCGTCTGGGTAATTATGACGTCATGTAGTATTGACATGCGCAGAAAACGTATGACACGATTTAGTCAAAGCTATGATTAAAGACATTAAAGTAAGAGTTTTTTAATTAAGATTAATTTTAACATTGAAAGCGAGAAAGCTTGACGACTAAAAGGTTTGTAAAGTGAAGCATTTTCAGTTTATATAGAGGATTGAGTCCGGCTTTGCAGCTCAGTCTCTTCAGGCAGCTCACAGAACATAGAAATCARGTATTTTTTTCGTCTGAAACTAAAGGAAAACATGATATTTTTGAACTGTTTCCTTATTTTCCTTTGAAATCACGCGAAGGATCGCAAAAAACCGAAAAGACTCTTTACTATGGCMAGTCCAGTAGTCGAGTTATAACTCTACGTTCCCTACTCGAGTTGACGTCATAGTCTTTTCTCGGCAATTTCGGTATAAACAAAACAAGCAAACGTGACTGACAAATATTAGAACAAACTTGCCGTTGGTCTTTCCTGGTTCTAGGAACTCGTCTCTCTTCATGCGTAATTCATCGCCTCTTGAAAATCAGCGAATCTCTATGTGAGGTGGATTTTCACCAACGGCATCTCAAGTGTGCTATAAGGAATGTTATTAAGTTATTCTGATTAAAAATATAATCTGGTCATGAAATAAAACAAAATCAACACGTTCATCAGATTGACAGATGAAATTATCAAATAATATTTAAAAAAAATACGAAAAAAAGTATCA